TTGCTCTTAAGAAGCCACCTTGCATTTCTAAGAGGAACTAGAAGAGAAGGTGGATGCAATGAAGCCTCTCTAGCCAACATGTCAGCCCATTCATTTCCATAGATGCCATAATGGCCAGGGATCCACAGGAGGACTACCTCTCTTCCAGAACAAAAAAGAGAGTCGATGCATTGTTTACACTCAAATTCAAGTTCAGAGGGGTATAAATTAGATTCAGAAAGGGTCTGAATCGCAGCCTGAGAATCGACAAAGATAACAATGCTTTGTTCAGCCGGTTCACCAATAGCTGTAATAGATATAAGGATTGCAAACATTTCTCCATCAAAATTATCTGCCCAAGTGTCAAGAGGTTCTCTAAGGCTGAAATATTTGGAGTAAACACCTGCTCCAGCTCTACCAGTTGAAAATGTGGCGGATCCATCAGTAAAAACCTGCAGTCATTCCTGGCAAGGGTATAGTGGCCAGAGCAATAGGATACAACTCAGTCTGGTGGAAGTCTGATTTCCGGACAGGCTGTACCAAGTCAAATCTAGCAGTGGCATATCTCAGAAGGCTTGTAAAACAGGCGGCCTGTAGATGCAAAGTTTAGAGTTGGAGACCTTAAAGATCTCTGCAAGTATCTGGTACTTAAAAAGAAAAGAATGTTGAGATTTAAGTCTAGTTTGAGGAAGAATGTAGTACGGCCAAAAGTATTCCTTTCTCAACAATCTTTCACCAAGAGAAAGGGCAGCATAAGTTCATCTGTCAGATAAATTATAAATTTCTGTCTGCAGCTGCATGGCAGGAATAGGGGTTGAAATCACAGAACCAATGATGAGTCTTAGTGCTTTATTTTGAACCAAATCGAGTTTTGATAATGCACTGTCCGAGGCAGTAACAAGGATTTCTGAACCATAGTCAAATACTGGTTCTACCCACTTTGTTCCAGCGAGACGTTTCAAAAGACTAAGGCGATTTGTTACGCTATCTGCCACTTGATTTATGTATTTAATCCAGGTTAGTCTGGTATCAAGAGTTATGTCCAAGTAGGTAGCACAATTGGTCCGACCCAGAGTACTATTTTTGTATACCAAGTTAACATTAAACTTTTAGGTACTAAGGGTAAAAAGTTCAAAATTTGTCTTTTCTGAGTTAACCTTGAATTCGTTGTCCAGAGACCAGGTTGCCAGAGCCTCTAAAGCCAATAAAGTGTTTTCGAAAGCAGAGAGATATCAGAGCCAGTAGACCAAATAACACGGTCATCGGCATACAACAATGATTCAGTCTCTGGAACAGCATTTCTAATGAAGCTCTAAAGGTCATTTACCATAACATTAAAGAGGACACGACTTAAAACTGAGCCCTGTGGAAGGCCCTGCCTGGTTTGTCCATCCTATATCTAAATGTATATTCATCCGATCACCTTAATATTCATCCTATATCTAAATGTATAATATCTATCCAATCTATGACTGATTTTAATTAAATAATTAGACTGTAATGGAGTATTATCATAACTTAAAAATAAGTGAAATAAAATAATATTTTCTATGAACTTTAACACCACTGATTTCAGCCGAAAATGTTGATTTGCTGTGAAGAGCTGAATAATCATTTATTCAGATATTTAATTGATAAATTAACAGTTTGAAGTTTCAAAATCTTTCTTTCATTTTACAAATCAAAACCATAAATTTAATTAAAAAATTTTTTAGTAATAATTTACAAAGGATGTTCATACGATACAAGTGATATCAAAACTAATAGCCTAGCGGATGGAGGTGGCGCACACTTATGTTCACCACATGTGACATCATAACCAATCAGAGATTGTTTTTTATTGCATCACTTATGGAGGCCTTTTTGGGTAATTGAAATGTTTAATACCTAAATAAATAAGCATTTGGCGGGGAAAAAAAAACAATCAGATTTTCGGTTTCAGGAGAGAACTTCTAATAAGTCAGGATTGAAAATAAAAAAAATTAAGAAATGCTGTAATTGTCCATTGTGCATAGATCTTTAAATTTAGTGTGCTATTGATTTTATATGTTGATGACTTTGCAATTTTCAATTGGATTTGATTGTAGCCGAGATAAATAATGATTTTGACAATAACATTTTAGGCAAAATTCACATGTTGTTAGGTATTGAATTTTAGGAGAATGAAAATGGTAATTTTATGCATCATAAGTTATATATTGATCAAATTTGTGTAAAATTTTCTAAGTTTAATTTTTCCTATTTTCACCAAAACCTAAGGTGAAGTTCTAACAAAATTGTATTGCCCAAATAATCGTGTAGATAAAGATGAGATATTAAGATTTCCACATAGAAATATCACTGGGATGTTTGGAATTCATTGTACATAGAACTAGACCAGATTAGAGTTATGCAGTTAATATGTTATCCCAATTTCAGGAAAATCCTGGTGCTAAGCATTAGAACATTTTACTTAAATTTTTAAGCTATTTAAATGACACCAGAGATTATAAGTTAAATTTAAATAAAATTAGTTCTTTAAATTTGAATTGTTTCGGATGCTGATTCTGCTACAAATAGATATGACAGTGTCTCAATGAGTGTAATGATAGTTTTTATTAATCAGGTGCCAATTTCTTGGAGATCAACAGAGCAGAAATGGATGACCTTGTCTACAATGGAGGCTGAATACATAGTAATGGCTGAAGCTGCAAAAGAACTAATTTGGATTATAAAATGAAGATATTAGATGAAGGCAAAACTTCGAGTTCATTATCACATAAAATTAAATTGTTTTGTGATAACCAGCAGCTATAAATTTTTCAAGTTCCTCAGTAGAGAACCATAGGACTATGCATATTGTTGTTAAATTTCATTTTTATGAGAAATTTAGTTTTGGATAATATAATAGATATTAAATTCATAAACATATAAAATACATTAAATAAATAAGATATTTTTTATTAAGCAGTTAGTAAAAGAATCTCATCAGAAATTTTCAAGTTTATGTAAAGTACCTAATTAAATTAATTTTCTGGAAGATTTTAGGCAGATCCATCTGAGGGGACCTGATTGTTGGACATAGTTTGACTAATTAAAGGGATCTACCTTTGTATAATGCTTTTTCATAACTCACCATAACGTAAAATTAAAGTTCATGGTTATGTCATCTTTATAGAGGAGTAAAATATCTTATGTATAACTAATTAAGGAAAAAGATGTATACAACTAAACTTGGTACTGTATCATTTTAATGATACGTAGAATGCCCAGTTATTCTAAATTGGTTCATAACGCAATCATATTATAATATATATGTTGGATGTCGTGATATCATTGCTGGTGCTCATATTATTGTTTGCTTCATCAAGCTGAGGTGTGCTAGCTTGTTTAATTTCTGAGAAGTTGTAAGTTTCCAAGGGAATTCTGTGCTTCAGCATGCATTTGTATTTTTTCCCTTACAGTCACTTGTAAATATTCATCTACATACTTTATTCAAAATAAATGATTGTTGAAACTGCTATCAGGTAATCTCGTTGCTTCTTCATCACTGTGCTTAAATAACTCTGCATCCAATCCAAGAATTATTCAGTTAATTTTAGAAATCTTGATGTTACAAAGTGACTTAGCATACCATAAGTTTCAAACTGTGTATTTGAATAATCATTTTTTGATCCACTCAATTAGCTATGATTATGCTATAAATCCAGGTATTTTAGACAATCACTTCCTTGACAGTTATTAACATGGATTTTCAGATGGTTTTCTGAATCTCGAAGTTTTAGTGTAACCCTATAACTTACAACTAATTTCAAATTCCCCATTTGAATAACCATGGTTTGACGCACTTGATTAGCAATGATTTAATCATAAAGCCGCATTTTTTGTTGCATTTTCAGCAGTTACAACTAATAATTTCCACATGACATGGTTTTCAAAATCTCGCTCTTTTAACATATTAATTTCTCTGGCAAATTTCAAATCGCATATTTGAGAAATCACTTTCTTACGAACTCGTTTAGTGTTGATTCAACCATAAATTCAGGTAGATTGCATTTTCAACAGTTACTGTTATACCGATTTTCAAAATCTCAATTCTTTTAAAACTATCTTATTTTGTCCTTTAAATTTCAAATAGCAAATTTGAAAAATCCCTCTATAACGCACTCTTGTTGTAACAATTCCTTCACAAATCTGTGATAAATGAATTTTGAAACATAGTGCAAAATTTTTTGATGGTAGTTATTCATTTCACATGAGCCACGGGAAAATATCACGGTAGAGTAAATGATAAAGAACAAGATTTCCTCAATGCAATAAAATGCTGTCACAGCCACAAAACCACAGCTTTTGCATTTGTGATGTTGATTAGGATGTGGTGAACGTCCTTCCCTTTTTAGGGATGTATGTTTGCTGTGATTTAAAATTAATGAATGATAGCCTGCCACAACTTAAAAGTTTATTTTGTTCAAATTGTTTTGGAAAGTGAAATTGGATTGACTTGCTAGATTTTCAAACTTTAACCCTGAGCCTCAAGGGAGGACAACTGTAACTAATAGCTCCCTCAAGCAACCATTCAGTACATGAAAACTGCATTGTTGTATGAGTTGTTGAGGCCTATATAGCATTGAAAATTACTAAGAGAGGGCAATCCCTAAATTTACACATTTTATCCCACTCTGTAACCACTGTTTCATACCTTTCAATTGCCATGAGTGTCACTATTTGATAGTTATGATATGCTCAATTGTGTATGTTTAGAATTACTCTTTGTATTTCCTCAACCTTAATTCATACCAAGCTTCATTTAAACCACGTAGCAGTTCAATAGATAATATATATATAGTAAAAATTACTTAAAACTGTTCAATAATCAAATAATATTTATAAATCACTTCAGCATGAGATACTTTTTGCAGATGTTGAATTAGTTTATAGGCATTAATTTAAAAAAAAAACTTTAAGAATAAACATACCTTCTAAAAATATTACAATTACAAAAAAAAAAAAAAAATAAGAAGAAGAGACTACTATACACTCACGTTAGAGCAGTAATCACAGGCATTACAAGCATGATTTGAAGAGTTGGCCTAGTATCAAAAAATGCTTTTAAACTTGCATATGATAAAGCACCAATTACACCAGCACCACCTTAAAACAATAAGATAATAAAATAAGTTAATGAGAAAACTTCAAGATGCCTATACATGCAGGGGTTAAGAAAATTCTACAAGTATAATATTTCCCCAGAATGCATTTTTTATTTTTTGAAATTTCTTCTAAAATTATAGCGTTTCTTTTAATACCTAAAATTTTTTGATAATAATTAATTCATTAACAATGAAAAAATTAATTTCATCTTATAGAATTCTTGAATAAATTAAAAGAAATAAAAATGGATTGAAGTAGTAATAATTTATAAAATTAAATTTAATGTACCACTCATAAACTTAAAGAATTCAGAACTAATAAATAAATAAATTGACATATGAAGTTATTTGTGTTACATTTCAACCCTAAGAGAAAATATTTTTTTCTCCTTCTTTTGGGACAGTGAGGTAATATGGCATAAGAAGTTAAAAAATATATTAAAATAAACTTGAATATGAATATTATAATATTTAAATTGTATATTATAATATTTAAATTGTATATTATAATATTTAAATTGAATATTATAATATTTAAATTGAATATTATAATATTTAAATTGCATATTTTAATATTTAAAATTGTATGTTAAAAATGTATATTATAATATTTAAATTAAGACTTAGTTTCTTGCCTTTCTTATGCCTCATGCGTGCCCAAATACTACATTTTTAATTTAGTTATAAGATTTAACAAGTCAGGAATTCAAGTAGTATAATTTATTTTAGTTAAAAAAGAAAACACAGAAACATTAACAAGTTGTTAAGAATAAATGCTTATTTATTATCGATAAATGACAACCTTCCTTTCTCCTTATGCAGGCTATCAATGACGTTAGATGCTTATACACAATTAGATGTTTTATACAAAATTAGATGTTTTACACACAACTAGATGTTTTACACATAAATAGATGTTTTTTTACAAAATTAAATATTTTTTACGAAAGCATGAGGATGATGATAACCCAGTAACATGTTATTTTTTACCAGGAAAATGTCTGTCTAAAGGACTCTTTTAAAAGGGTTGAAGTTTAATAAATTGGAGGTCCATTTGCATGAAATTAACACCTAATTGAAAAAAACTATTGAACTAAACATTCTGATTGTGCAGGCACATAATTTCTAGAATGAGAAATTATTTGGAAATTTTTAGAAACATAATTGTTAAATAGTTTCACTTTCAAACAATTAAGTAGTTTTTTAATGCTAACTTTTTTATGCACATTTCTATTAAATTAAATAAAAAAATATAAATTAAACTATAATTTTTAAACACAAAATCGATTTGTAAAATTTAAAGGGAGAAAAGAAAATGGGTTGTTGAGAAAAAATGCTGTTTTCTAATAATTTCTTTCTTCTCATCACCATATACAATATGAATAATTTGACTCTTTGAAGAAAAAAGCAGAATTTTAAAAATTCTGAAATCTGCGGCAATATGAGATTAACTGCTGAAAAAGAGATAGACCTTAAAACCAGATTTTCTACACTCGCATGAAATGAACGTGTCAAAAAGTGATTATTCAAACGCCAGAGTTCGCACAGTGAGAGTCGAGACTCGCACATTGTATTAATTATAATATATTAAAAATTTAGAGATTTAAAAAACCTTGCATACAACAGAAGCAATAACTGCCAAAAAAAGAAGATTCAAATGCATCATTGAGATTTATTGCAATGGTAAAAAATTATTTTTATATCAATTATAAAATTTAAATCCTGTTTTTGTAATGCAGAACTAAATAAATGCATATCCTTGAATTCAATACTTTTATAATATAGATTAATACAGTTAAAACAAAGTTAATAAAATTCACTGGAACATGATAATTTCTTTTAGCTTAAATTTTTTTTTTTAAAGATTTAATTAAAAGTTTGCTGAGATCACAATTGTTTTAAAAGGTTACTGCTATGCTGAAGGCAGTTCTCTGCATTGAATTATTTAAGCTAGAAGAAATAAATAAAAAAATCAATAACTTAAGATTCTCTACATTTTTAAATTTTAAACTATTCCATATAAAAACTGATTCAATATTTCTTTCACTTAACATGAAAATAAATCTTCGATATAAATTTCAAATATACTTTAAAATTAAAAAAAAAAGAAATTATTTTGTACTTATAGTGTATCAAAGTAATATCAAATCAGGCATTCATAACTCATTCCAACACTTTTTTTTACAGAATTAAAAAATCTTAAATATTCAGAACTAGAAAATTTCGTCAATTATTAATAATGTTTAGGTGGGTACCATAGAAATTTAGAATATTATAAAAATATTAAGTCCACTTCTCAATAGTTTCTAAGAAATCGAGTTTCAGACATTTGACTTTTTTAAAATTTAATTTCCCAGGGCTTATTTCAGGGATGAGAGTAGTCAGAAAGTAAAAAAGAGGAAATCCAAGAATATATATATATATATAAAAAAATCACACTTTTTTTGTCAAATTTTTGTTTAAACTTGTTATCCATGTGATTATAAATCCCGATATGAGGCTTTTAAATCACGTGAATATGAAACTCTACATCGAATTTAAACAATGCGAAAATACAAATCATGATACGTAATTTTTAGATCAAGATGCATAATTTTAAAATCGCGCGATATTACAACTGTAAAAACGAATCACGACATTGGATTTTAAGCTCGCGTAGCTACATAGGGTTTTAAAAGCTCGTAAATACAAATCGCTATATTGGTTTTTTAAATCTCGTAAATAAGAATCGCAATGTACAATATTTAAATGGCCTGAATAAGAATCGCAACGTTCAACTTTTAAATCAGGTAAATACGAAAATCGATGTTTGATAATAAAATCGCAATTTTAAAAATGCAAAAATACAAAACACGATATTAGATTTTTAATCTCGTAAATACGAGTCATAATGTACGATATTTAAAAAGCGTAACTAAGAATTGCAATGTGCAACTTTTAAATCAGGTAAATACGAAAATCGATGATTGATAATAAAAATCGAGATATTTGCAGAGTCTGGACTTGGGATTTCTAAAAGGCTTGTTGAAATTGTTTTTTGTTTACACAATAAATAAAAATTTACAAGATTAATTGAATGAGCAAATAAATATTTTCACCACAAATCCACCTCCATTTTTTTCCGCTTTTTTTGTTCGCTTTCTCTCCGGAATACAAGAAGCAGCGACGTCTAAATTACGAAAATACGAGCTATCCAGCTGACGGATAAAAATACGGAAAATCTTATTTTCTGTGTGTGAAATTGGAGAAAATAGCTAATATAAGTAAACATGTGGAAGGATTAGCAGCTAGGGCGTAGTTTGAATTTTCTGTTTTTCTTTGAAAATCGTAAATAAATATAATAATTTGACTTCAACGACTGAATTTTTTTAAAAAAAAAACGGGATATTTATAAATAAATAAATAAAAAAAACGAAACTTTTAGAGAATCTGAGTTTTTGATAAAAAGGCTGAAATTCGAGAGACAAAAGCGAAAAAAATCTCATCCCTGTATAAAGGTCAACCAGTTTTATCCCAAGGAAATAATTTTTAGAGAAACTTCAGAGGGAGGAATGAGGACTTCAATAATTTCGCTCCGCGGAAAATTAAATTCCTCATAAAATATTTTAACTTGTGGAGAAAAAAAATTTCAGTGGAAATTAGCGGGGAAAATGGAAAAATCTGAGAAAAAGCGGAAATCCGCGAAAGAATCTCATCCCTGTTATTTGTTCAAATCTTGTATTTTGCCATCTTGAATTACACTCTTTAAAATGATGTAAAAATTTGTATACCATAAAATTCAAAAATATTTTTTGACTATAAATTAAAAAAATAAAAAAATATTAAAGTTTATTTATTGCTTAGAAAATCTTTGGATAAATAAATTTTATAATTGTGTTCAAAATTTTCTGAATTCACTTAAAATATTCTTATAGCAAAATACGCAAAAGTTAGCATTAAGGTGTTCAAACTTTTGACCAAACTAATAACCATATTTTTCCGATTGTGGCTTCCCCCATATTTTAAGGTTCAGGTATCATAATCTGTTGAAAAAAACGTATGTTTGTTCAGAAAAAGGGCATTTTTGTGTCTGATTTCATAATTTAAATTATGGTCAGCACTAATTAATTAGCATATCCCTGTGAACCATGAAGATTAAGTCCTGGTACTTGAAAGTTCCATTACAAGATCAAACGTTATTCAGGATGTCATTTTTTTTTTGCATACTGCACATTTATAACTTTAATGTTAGTGCTTTTTTTAACATATTTTTTTGAAGTATGAAATATTTATCTACATAATTTACAGATAAAGTCAAATTTTAATAATGTTTTTATGTTTGAAATATAGTATAACAATATATTTATAATATTTTTTTTAAATAATGCACATACATAAGAAAAATTAATAATCATATATATTTATTTGAAATAAATTTTTAAATCACACTTATGAACAATATAATTTAGTATTGTTATAATATTTGCATAATTTCTACAACAATAATTTAACTTTTTGCTATAATGGTTAAAACATTTAACATTTTAAGAACATTTTTTGATAAGGAATAGCAATTTTTTTTTTTTGCTATATTAAATCTTAAAAATATTAAATGTTTGGGCTTCTAGAAAAAAAAATAATTTCTTTAAAATTCTGGCAATTTCTAATTAAATAACTAACAATTAAGATAATTGTTTAAGTGAAAATAATTATCCCATGCAATTTTTTGTCATCATAAAAGCAGAGTAAAATAATATTAAAAAAATATCAACTTATATATAAGATAAGCAGTTATTTTAAAATTATTTATAAAAAATTGTTAAAATGAAGTCTAATACAGACAGAAAAGGTTTAATTTTTTGAACTTCTTATTGTTCCTACAGGAAGTCATTATTCATAACTGTTAGTAATTAGTGATAATTTTCAGAATTTCTTGAAGTATAGCATGTAAAGAAGAATCACTTTTTTAATTTTGAGAGGATGCTTTCATATATTAATATTGAAATGGAATGATTCATTAGCTTACTCTATTCCAGGGGCTTTTTTCTACCATTCTGAGTCATAAAACTTAGACGATGAAATTCACAGTTGATTAAAAATTACGAAAAGCAATACATTATTTCTGCTCACAGTTCAATTTAAACAAATTACAAATGAATTTAAGAAATAAAATTTTCTTTTATTTCAAGAAACTTTTAATATTATAATAAAAATGATTTCTAAATATGTAAGTAAAAATAAAGTTATATAACCTGTTCCAGATGCCCATGTAGAAACAACATTCCTGGAAACAAATATCATAGTAAATTGAAAAATATTTAAAAGAGTGAACAGATTATAAATTAAGAGAAAAAAGAATGAAAAATGAGTTGCAAAAATTTTCAACGAACAAATTTGTTAACATTATATGAAATATTTAAAATTTTACTTAAATGCTTACAACACTTTAATTCTACTATTTTACATTCAAACTTACAAAAGAATTTAATAATGTGAGAAAATAAATGTTAATCTGAAGGTTGATTTATATCAATTAAATTATCACAATAATTTCTAATTAAGCCAATTTTTTTAAACAGGTTTAAGTCTATTTATTCATTTATTACGATTATTCTTAGGTCTATCATTTATTACTTATGATGTCCAAGTATCAGACAAAAGCTCTATCTGGGGGTACCACACAATTACCAACACAGGGTACCACAGAACCCAATCCTGTGGTTACTAACTGCAAATACAGTACTGAACCAATTATCCGGGATGCTCGAGACCATCGCTATCCCGGATGTCTGAATTTCCCGGTTTTCTGGATCGACCAAAAAGTGTCATTAATCGATGTTTCATTGAACTCAAATTACAAGGAAAAAGTGTAACATATTTTAAAATAAGAGAAAAAAGAAAAGCTCTCCTAAATTTAAAGAGAAAAAAAATGGTAGAAAAATAACATTTAAAAGAACAAAAAAATGTGCAAGTATAGACAAGAAAAACAAGTTTAAAAAATACAAAATTCTCATATTTATTTTTTAAAAATAATTACAATTCCTAAATTAAATAATATAAACAAAACCAATGATTAAATAACGCAATATATTTCATACCTAATTATACGGGGAGAAACGATAAAATAAAAGGAAAACTTATTAATCTATATAAAAACAACACTTGAAAATTATCGAACCGAAACGATAGTTAAAAAAGGCGCTAACACAAGTATTAAAACCCGGAACAAGGCAAGATCAATAAGATCAACGGAATTTTTAAAAAAAGAAAAAAAATCTATCAATAAAATTTATGAATAAAAAGAACTAATTTATTGAGTACGAAATTTATCGTTAAAAGAAAAAAAAAGCTCAAACGTAGTGGAATCAGAAAACGAAACCTACAATCTACTTCATAAAATAATCATATGCTTAAATTAATAAAAAATTCTCCTTTTATTTTTTTAAATAATTGTTCTAGTTTAAAATGGTGGGAAAATCGAGCAAAATTTCCCCCGGTTTTCTGGTTTCCCAGTTATCTGGATAACGGATAAATGGTTCTCTACCATACAATTTTAAATAGCCAAAGACATCCACAAGAATCAATAACGCAGATGACTTTTTTATTTTGATCACTGGTACAATATTAAACCATCTCGGACCATTTGCTTTTTCCATACTCACAAAATATCTTGTTTGGGCGAAAGAACAAAATCTCACATTCAGTATACAAAAAACATCAGTAATTATATATCCCAAGAACAAATACTCAAGAAAACCAACAAATAAAATGGATGGCCAAAATAAAAGGATTCAACACACGATTGACAATTAGGGATTCAACCTTAACACTGAGCTATCTTGGCTACCTCATCTCAACAATGTTAATGCTAAAATTATAGAAATTCAAGTTAAATTAAAAAGAATTTCTGGAACAGACAGGAGTATCGAGCTGGAAATCAAGAAATTTATCTATCAAAACAGTATGTTTAGAGTAATCTCATACGGAATGGAAATATGGTATAATCAACAGGGTAAGACGTTAATCAGTATCAAGAAAATTGAAAGGGTAATTCTATAGGCTATAACAAAGGAACAGAGAACAATCTCAACCGAAGCTTTGCAAGTACTCGCAGGAACCATATCACTAGATCTTACATTAGAAACAGAATCAACTTTATCAAATCTCTTTCTACCTACCGAAACAAAAATTAACCTGAGAATACCATCTAAAGCAGGGGACCCCAACCCTATGCCTGCGGGCACCATGGCGCCTGTCGATCAGTCTAGGGGCACCCGCTGCTTGTGCCCCACGATAAAATATTTCAGTTTTCCCATAAAATGCTAAGCAATTTTTTTTTTTTTGCTTTTTTAATATTGATGATAAACACAACCAAAATAGAAATCGCCAGGATAACGACCTCCATCCCCACAGATATAAGCACAAAGCAAAATATAGCTGACCTATTTTCCACTCGCGCCTAGTCTTCACCACACTAATTTCTCACACTTGAATTAAAATAAATCAGTCGATTTCTATGGTTGCCGTACTATAAAGGCATTTTTCCGAAACTCGTGTCGGGAAAATCTCATTGAAATAATGTTCATTCGTTTTTCTACTTCTTTTTCTGTTTATGGTTTTTGTGTTCATATTTTTCGTATACAGTATTTACTTCTTTATTATTTTTAAATACTTCCTTTGTTCCTACTAAAATGTGTGGATCAAGCAAAAGACAACATTCCGAATGGGAGGAATCATACTGCTTCGTCAATTCAAAAGATGTTGTCATGCCTCCATGTTGTGATGGCGCTGTCATCAAGGTAGATGTTGTAAAAAGACAGAGGAGGGAACGCTCTGATGGAGAGCGGAAGCGAATTGTTTAGGTGGATTGGTTATATTAATTTTCTTCAAACTTCATTTTTTTTCTTTGTTAATAAATATTTGTGTTGTTAACTGGTTACCATTTATTTGGCCAATTGTGATTTTGGGAAGTATCTGAGTGAAGAAGGGAAAAGGAGGAAAAAGTATACATAATATCACAGATGTGTTTGCTTGTTATGTGGAAATAGTATTGTGGTGTCGAAAAAACATAATGTTCCAACGTCATTTCCAAACAGTTCATTCTACTTTTAATGCAAGCTATCCACTTTAATCTGCAATCCGAAAAAAGAAAATAGAGCAGTTAAAATAAAATCTTTCGGTTCAACAGTCACTTTTCACAAGTACTAAGATTAAATCTAAAAATGCCATTATAGCTTCTTTATAAATTTCCCAAATGCTTGCAAAGAAAAAAAAGTCCTCCTAGGATGGTGAGTTGTTAAAAGACACATTTCTTACAGGTGCTGATAGCTTATTTGAGGGATTTTCCAACAAACGTGAGATCATGTCAGCAATACAAAACTTATAGTTATGTTATTACTGTTACAAGAAGAATAGGAGCGATTTTAAAAGATATGCAAACACAGTTAAAAAGTGATTTGGAAATATGTCAGTGGTTCTCACTACAATTTGACGAGTCTACAGACACAACACAGTTAGCAGTTGTGGTGAGAATGGTATTTATTGATTTTACAGTAAAATAAGAGGTACTAAAAATATTGCCCATGAAAGGACGGTCAACAGGTGAGGATATTTATAAAACATTTATAACATATGCAAGTTTGATAAATATGCCTCCCCAGAAACTGTTTGCAATAACCTCTTATGGGGTACCAGCAATGGTGAGAATCCTGAATGGTTTTATTGCTCTCTGTATAAAAGATAGGTCATTTCCAGATTTTATGTCTTATTACTGCATTATCCAACAGGAAGTTATGTCCGGTAAAGTACTACCATTTGGACACGCAATGAAAATTATTACCAAAATAGTCAACTTGATTCGAGCAGCTCCTTTGAAACATCGACTTTTCAAGGCCCTGTTACAAAATGCTGATGATGCGGACCATATTTTACAAACGCTGGCTCAGTAAAGGGAAAGTACTTGATAGATTTATACATTTAATTGAAGAAATAAAAAATTATCTTGCAGCCAAAAATCAAATATTTTTAGAACAATGAGATCCTCTTTGACTAGCAGATTTGTCTTTCGTAACAGACATAATGGAAAAACTAAATAATTTAAACTTGGAGCTGCAGGGAAAGGACAAACATACAACAAGAATTATAGGGGCTATAAACTCAATCAGAGCTAAGCTTGTTTTGTTGATATCACATTTGAAAATGTGCATTTTCTGAACCTGAAAAAAATGATAATCGACAATGAAATTGACTAATATTTGTCATCAACCTCAAATTGCTTCAAGATCAAATTGAAAATTGTTTTCAACAGTTTAAAATCATCGAGCCTATGGTAACCTTTTTTGTAAATCCTTTTACCAACCAAATTAACGTAACCATAGTAACGTAACATAACAACATACATTTCAGAATTTCTTCAAATAAGGCGAGAAGAAGTGGAGATGGAAATTTTAGATCTTCAGAGTGACATTATCCTCAAAACTATTATATCAGAAGAGAAACTTTGGAATATAGTTGAAAAAAATAAATTTCTATTCTTAAAAAAAGCACCATATAAAATAAAGTCGTTCTTTGGTTCCACATACTTGTGTGAATCATTGTTTTTGACAATGAATATCATAAAATCAAAATATACATCACAACTTACAGATGAACACCTTGACGATTGCTTGCGAGCAGGAATTTCATCATATTCTCCCAATTATGAAGCGCTGGTCAGTGAAATGCAATGCCAAAGATCACATTGATTGTATTTTACATATTTTATAAATAATTTTTATACTTCGTATGTTTTGCAAACAATTTAGTTATAACTTATTTTACACTATAATATTAATACTAATTATATTCATATGTTAAATAAATTTTTTAAATTAAATATTTTGTGCATTATATGTAGTGCGTATTAATACCTATGTCTACCAACTATAAATTTATCTTGAAAAAATAAATGGTGCCCGCCATTCGATCGATATTTTGGAATTTGCTTTTAGGTACAAAAAGGTTGGGGACCCCTGATCTAAATTATCTATTCACCACCTCGCCGAAACAATTTCCATTCAATTCAATCACCACAAACCACAGAACCAAAAATTTAAATGATTGATGGTTCAAAGCCTAAATATCTGAATAAATTTAGAATAGGATGTGCCTTCGTGATCTAATACAATGGAAATGTTATCGACAGCAGACAATTTAGATTATCAGACAATTCTTCAGTTTTTAAAGACGAGCTCTAAGCAATTCACCGGTCTATCTCCTGGATAACCGAACAGCAAATCAGTGATGCAGAAAATATTTTGTCAGACTCATTCTCAGGATTATATGTCCTTTCTAATGCACATAAAATGGATTACATCATTTCAAGTATAAAAAACAGATTAACTGCAAACAACCAGCTAAATTGAATTAGAGCCCATCAGGTCACATGTGGAAATGAGGAGGCAGATAGATTGGCTAAGCAGGCTTGGGAACGAGAGAACATCAACTTTTTTGATGAAGAATCAAAACATACAATAAGGAAATGACTACCTGAATAAGGCACAGAATCCTGGCAAATGAGATGGAGCAACCCGCAACAATGGGAAGACATACTCACAGAATTTTTGACAAGAGTACAGACCAGATATTTTTTTGGAAATTTTTACATAAACCAATTTCTAACCAAGCATGGAGCATATGCATCAAATCAAAATAAAATATTTGAAAAATCTAAATACTGTAACCACTGTGGTGTGTTGGAAGATCTTGAACACACTCTGATATGAAACAGATGCACAATTTAAGACTTCAGTATTCTCTGGAAGCCCACTATTGGGGTAGAGTCAAATTAAATTAACTTATTCTCATAAAGGGAAGCAATTTCTAACTTCGCTAAATTTATTTATGTGATATAAATAGTAACCTGAAAAATCAACTTTAATCTAAAAAAGAATCAAAAATGTAAAAAACTCAATGCTTTAAAATAAATCAATGTCCATTTTACTATTATTAAAAACTAATAATAACGAAATAACTAATAATAACAGGAATAAGAAATAACTAAGCGCACACCAAAAAATTCTCACAAAGGAATGAGCAAAACGGAAACTAGTTTCACTTCAATCTTCAGGGGTGGAATTTTAGTGGGTAGAATGTCACTCGTTCAATGGAAATAATGCAATGCAACTCCACTAAGAAAGAGAGAAGAAATTGTTTAAAAGGGGAATATATACCCCACCTCCTCCGCTTGTCATTTCTACTGGAGCTGTTTAAGAAGAATCAATCAGTTACTTTTAAAGCGGTTGGAGAAAAGAAAAGGGGATGGTTCCTTATTTATGCACTCCAATTGTCAAAGCGCTAAATGGATTTCTAGCTTGCGATCTTTCTCGTTGTTGTCACTCAAACCTGGTTAATATAATACACAATATATTAAGAGGAAACAAAAATTACTGTGCTCTTGTGTGAGCTATATTGGGCTAACTATATTTATTAGTTTTAATTGCTGGAAAAACAGCTGAACGTACTTAAATAATGCTATAGTAAATGAAATAGTTTAGTATAGCTGAACTATCATTGTTAAATATCCTATAGATTCCGCTTTGAGTGGTCACCATTTTTTAAAAGACAAAAATAAGAAACAAAATTCCCTGCATTTTCCCAGCTTGTAAAGAAAAAAAAATCAAAATTCCCTGTATTTTCTAGGTTTTCCCTGTGGAGTGGCAACCCTGTTTCTTTAAGCAGGGGGATGATACCAGATATATACCCTTCAAATTGGTCTCCTAATACGATGATTTTTTTTATCATTATTTTGTTTATTTATTTTCTTGCAGGTTGCTGCCGAAAATTGCCACAGATCACGATACTGTTGGCAGTAAGTATGTAAATCCCATCCCCTGTCTTAAGTAATTCCCAATTATTTAATACTAAGTAATTTTCCTATTAAGAATATTTTAAGTTCACTTCAATAGAATATTGGATTCATTTCAACATCTTATGCTACAGATGTTTGTTTATGTTTCGATCAGCATGGATAGGGAGAGACGTAATTCATGATGCAGGATGGCGGTCATTCAACTCTTAGCCTATCAGCGATCTACACTTGTCCAGAGCTTTGCTACTCAGTATATAAGGAGGTGTTTTTGAAGCAATCTCCTCTTTGGTCTTTCCTTTTTTACTTTGGTCATACCCTTCACAGTAGAGTAGCTAACAGTATGTCGGAGGGCAAATATGTAGTTAATAGTATTAGCCAGTATATTTCGAATAAGTTTTTTAATTAATTGTTTTAAAGTTTTTAAGATGAATAAATTTCGTTTTATATTTTAAACTTAGTCTTCAATCTTTCACCACTTCCCAATAACGGGAAACAGATGCAGACAAAAATTTTATCAACTTCGTTATTAATTTCTTTAATAAAATGTTTTGCTTAAAAAATTATTTCATCGGAGATAGTTTTTCTTGATAAAAAATTTTTTCTACCAAAAATTCTTTCTGTTGTATAAAATGTTTTGTCTAAAAAATTATTTCATCGCAAATAGATTTTCTCGATAAAATTTTTTTACAATCAAAAATTATTTCGTCGGAAGAGCCGCATGTAGGAAAAAACTTCTTTTCAATAGCGCTGTGGCATTTACGCCGAAAAATACGGTAATGTATTTTTCTTGATGACAAAAGAGTTGAAATCAGCTGTATTGTGTAAATGCCATTACACATTCTAGGGTATCTAAAGTTCATGGAACTCTTCTTTCCTTAAAAACGTAAATAAATCCCCTGTGACGATGGATGAATTATGAAAAAAAAAAGTTTGCTATGAGGGAAAATAAACAAGTTTAACTCAGAACTAAGTTTTTCAATAGTTTAACATTAAAACAAATGTTTGAAGCCCTAATACTCTCATTATGACTGGTAATTTCTAAAAACCAAATAACTGATAAAATAATTGCTATCAATAAAATTAATAAATCATAAAAATATTTCGTTGAAATAGAAAGTTCAAAGACTAACTTATCAAAAAATGATGAATAAGATAAAAATGTAACTTCTCCTAGTCCACTGGATAGAGCAGCACATATAACACCTATGTAAGAGATTTATTCTTTCAGTAATTCAAAAGCTTTGAGATTAAAATAATAATATTACATACTCAATAAAATAACTAATGATATTTGCATATTTTATTTTACCTAGAAACGTCATCCAATGGCTAACAGAAAAAGATGTTATTATAAAACTCATGGCACATAATGTAACAGCAATCATAACTCGTGCACTAAAAAGTTAAAAAGTGCACATTTAGTTAAAGTTTAGATTAATTAAGTTTTCAGAAGAGATGCATTGAGATAGCTTAAGGTAAAAGTTCAAGTCCATGTACACACTAAACTAACATCAGTTAAATTTAAATATGTAAAATATTTTAAAAGTTATTTCATATGAGAGACAAGTTTAAAAAAATATTTCAATAACAAAACCAAAAACAAGATGTGAATCACATATAAAATTTAGCATGCATGGATTTTTTAAATTAATAATACTTTAAAGGATAGATATTTCTGAAAATATCAAAAGCTTGCTTAATATTTAAAAATAAAAATTTATAATAATTATAAGATTTTTTATTTTACAAATACATCTACAGCGATACATTTCTTTCATAAAATTTAGTTCTACAGATATACATGTCTACAGATCAAAATTGTTCATGTTCTAAAAGTGATACATTCCTACCCGAATAGTAATATTCTTTTGATACAAAGACAAGTTACAAGATTCAATAAAAATAGAAATGGTGCTGGATTTAATGGCCTTTTGTTTCATTGGGCAGGAAAAAGATTAGTAAATCATGTTAATATTTATGACATTCTTGTGTACTCATGATACAATGACCTTGCTTCTGCTTTTGCTTGGACAAAATGGGCTGTTGTACATAGCAGTGACTATTTTTTTTTTACACATAACTCGAAAATATTGATGACACATTAGCATGAGATTTCAATGTCATGAATAAAAAAATTAAAATTTTTTTAAATTTATTTTAAAAATATGTCGATTAAAGCAAATTTCCATTATTTAGATATGTTTCTCTTCGAAACCACTATTTTGCTTACCTTACATAATTTACTTTAGAAAGGGATTAACTTAATATGAATCCCAAAAATCAAACACAGAGTATCCTGCATCCTATCTATTTTCTTCCAACTGAACCTTTGCATCAAATGTTGTAGTAGTATTTTCTAAAATGACATTTTCTAATGATGATGTAAGTAACTATTTTGAAAAACAAAATAAGCATGCAAGTTCATGTCTAAATCTCTATTAATTAAAGAAATTATGGCAGTGTCATAAATTGACGAATTTTAATTTCTGAACAAAAAAAAAAATTATTAATCATATATTTTAATCATCATTTTGAATGAAAAAAAATTAAATAATTTTAGCATAACTGCATGTGATTGTTCACAAAACAAAATTCAAACTTGAAATTAATTTAGTCTAAAATGGGCTGATTGAATAATTGTATGGTTAGCATAAAGTATAAGTTCAAAAACTCATTATAATGCTAATATGAAAAGGTTAAATATTAAATATACATATATTTTTACTGAGTAAAGATTTTGAAGTTTTTATTCTTACAAAATAGGATGTATGAAATGCTAGTGAAAATTTTTTTAATAGTTTTCAAAAGTTGAAAGAAATAAAAAACTTACTGTGTATTTATAGCAATGAAAGGTGCCACAACCTTGATAAGAAGTGAGGGTATTATATCAGCAAGCAATATAGCCTAAAATTATACAGAAATAATAATAAAAAATTATTATTTTTTAAATTAATAAATGAAAAGAATTGCAGTCTTCTTTTCTTACACTGATGCATTATCCTTTTTTAAAAATATCTAAATATTAAAAGGTAAAAACTAAATTAGTTACATAAATTCTGCTTATTTATGTATTATTATAAAAAATATTTATGTTTTTCATCTTATGTTTTTCAAACTGGTAAATTTTGACATTCCTACAAATAAGATTATTAAAAACAACAATACAATACACAGAGTAAACTTTCTATATCCACAGCACAAAATAAAACTAATATACAATTTTATAACTGTAAGTAAAGAAGATTTTCAAAATAACATATTTAAATAAAACATACTTTGCAGGCTCATTTTGATGGTTTGAAAATTATAATTCTTTTAAAATTGACTTTTATTCTAGTAACATTTAACAGATTTTATTCAAATTTTAGGATAATGGTTCCTGATAAGCAATTTAAATAAACTAATTAATGATTAAGCAAAGGTAAGTCGTGAAGAAGGTTCAAAATGACATTTTAGTGAAGGTGAGTAAATTAGCTTTAAAATTTTTATTAGCATATGATAACAATAAGAAATATGGGATACATCTAGCCTGCAAGCTTCCTATTGGCAAAATCTTGAATTCCTAACACTAATTCAGTCATAGCATTGACACTCTTGGTGCTTTAATTTTCTGCCAAAGGGTGGCTTTCTAAGCTTACATATCAAATGGTTGTTGTAAAATATATCTAGAACCTTCTTCCAATCAGATGACACTAAGATTGTCGCTCAGTACTTTAATCTACTAAGATCTGTGATATTTAAATAATGATTTTTTCAAGAAATCTTAATTTTTCAAAACTGTTACTGAACCAGGGATCACAAAAAACCCGGTTGAGAAAAATCCCAATTTTGCCTTGGGATATTTTTTTTGTTTGTTTCTTTTTCATGGAACGACCCAATTTTGCACAAAGATTTCACAGTTTTTCTTTTTTAAATACATTCTACATGCATACCTATATATACTAAATATAAAAGTAAGATATAGTTGAAATCCATGAAAACTGAAACCAGTAGTGAAGTTTAAGCAATATCTTTGTATTTGGTATCATTTTAAAGGAAATTTGTTGTAATTTATGAATTCAGAAGTTATTTTTTAGAGTTAAGCATGCTTATAGAAAAATTTATCATAAATAGAGAGCATTCGTGATTTTGACTTATTCTATCAAAAAAAACTGTCTATTTTAAAGAAGAATAAGTTATTAAATATATTACGCTTTCACAAATATTTTGATTTATATTGTAAAATAAATTGTTCCTGAGTGTCTAATTATGCAGTGATTTCCATCAAAAAAATTTTTTTTTCTTCTTATTTTTTAAATCAAAAATTATGTCAAATATATATTTGTCCTCTCTGTTACAATTATTCTTTAAAGTTTATTTTATTCATTACACAAAAAAACCTTTTAACTTAATTCTATAGAAGGTTACCATATGAAAAAAAAAGTCTTTGTCTTAAGAAAATAAAGTTTTCTATTTTGAAAAACAGTTTTTTTTCTTCTAAAATTATCAATTTAACTTAATTTTATTTTCACAAATGTCTAAATTTCAGAAGGGGCAAAGCACATTATTTATTTGCCTTTCAATTAAATGAGAAAATAAAATTTTTGATTTCGAAAATAGCCTTAAAGTTGAAAAAAAAATAGTGCTTTTTTTCTAAATTTACTTTAACTTGAGTTCATTCTCACAGAGGTTAAAATTTCAGAAGGGGCTAAGAACACTATTCGCCCCCTCAATTAAATTTCAGAAAAAATAAACTTTTTTCTCAAAAAAAAAAAAAAAAAAAATTTAAAGTTGAAAAAAAGTTTTTTTTTTCTTCCTGAATTATTAATTTAACTTTATTTTCTAATTTTTTATATTCTGGCTAAATTTCAAAAGAGGCAAAGCACATTATTCGCCCCCTCAACTAAAATTCACAGTAAAATAAAGTTTTTGATTTCGAAAATAATTTTCAAGTAGAAAAAGGAATGGTTCCTTTTTTCTAAAGTTATCAATTTAACTTCACATTATTTTCATGAATGGCTAAATTTACAGAAGAAAATAATCTTTTTTTTTAAAACAAAAAACTTTAAAGTTGAAAAAAGTTCTTTTTTTTTCTAAAAATACCAACGTAACTTAACTTTAACTTCAAAATTGCTATGGCTAAATTTCAAATGGCTAAATTTCACGAATGGCTAAATTTCAAAAGGGGAGAAGCACATTATTCACCCATCAATTAAGTTTCAGAGGTAAATAAAGTTTTTCACATAGAGAATCACTTCAAAGTAGAAATAAAAAGTTTTTTTCCCTCTAAGTTTACAAATTTAAATTGACCTCATTTTTGTGAATGTCTACATTTCTGAAGGGGCAAAACACATTATTTGCCCTATTACTAAATTTCAGAAGAAAATGAACTTTTCTACTTGGAAAATAGTTTCAAAGTTGAATTAAAAAGTTTCTTTAAATTTTTAATTTCACTTTTTTACTATTTTTTTAATCAGAATTTTGCTTGATTTTATTTTCTCGAATGTTTATATTTCTGGAGGGGCGAAACATATCGCTTGCCCCCTCACTAAAATTTTAAAAGGGGCGACTGCCCCCTATGCTCCCCAGACTGGTATGACGTTTTTCTTTGGTAAGATATTTGCTTTGGAATTTCCAAAAAAAAAAATTTATAATAATAATAAATCAATAGTTCTGTGCCACAATTGTTTTGTCATATATAATTGCATGACGTTGTGAATATATATATTTATATGTCATTCTGATCAGAGGTTTCAATAGGCATTACATTCAAAAATGAATATTTTTAAAAATATAGCCATATTCTTAGGACCCTGAACACACTGGAGTAACGCAACTTTATTTTTACTTCGATGTTAAAGATATAACTGCTGAATATTTTTTTAATAGTGACCATTTAAAAGGAGAGCATATGTGATACATAAAATCCTAAAATTTCATCCAATTTCTATAACACGAGTTGAAAATTTTTCATTTGAAACCAATAAGTGATTTCATTTTTTATAACAATATATTAACCAGATTAAAGATAAATGTAAGATAAGACCAGATTCAAAATCAGTATAACATTACAGATATTTGCTAAAATTGTCTGAAAAATTAAGTTAAAAAATAATAAGTAATAACTTTATGAATTATATCAGCTCCAAATGTTATTATTCTTTTTTAATTTTACTACATCATTTTATCTCACATATCATATGGTAACCATATTATATATAGACAGAGCTATACTTTCATCAAAGTCTTAATTTTATATTAAATCCATTTTTTGAAGTTATAAAATCTTCAAAATACAATTTTGAGTGTCTGACCTGATAATTCCATCATTCCTGGCTTTCTGTATATCGAATAATAGTAATAATCAAAATATTTTTATTCTATTTCATGGCCTATATCCTTAATAGCTCCTTCTAAATTTTTTTTCTTTGATAGACAATATCAATAGAACTCTTTTAAAGTTAAGATTGTTATCATCAGTTTTCAAACACATCATATCCAATTTTGAAAAGTTCTATAAAAAAATTTTCGTTTAGTTTACGGAAAATAATAAAACTATAATATTTAGACCAATTAAAAATTTATTTCAGTAAATTTTTCAGAATTTTGAAATTTATGTACAAAAAACAAGTTATTTCTTAAAAAATAATTTCAGAAAACTAAAATTAAGCAAAAATGAATATAGAAGTATGTATCGAAGAAAAAAAAATTATAATTTATTTTAAGATTTCGACTGAAAGAGAAAAAAGAAGTCCCTGGGCAAAGTAAAAATCAGGAGCCATCATCGATTTTATAGTTAATACTTTCTGTGTAAATTTCTCTTCTAATAAGTAATTTTCTGGCTCTCCTAAAATAGAAAATTCTCTCCTTGAGTTCCAATTGTTCATGCGATTTCCTGACAATTTTGAGGAATCTCAGCTAAAATTATTAATTGGAACAATAGTTCATTTTGAAGAAGTAAACAAAAATTCATGCTTGCACACCCAACTCTTAAAAAAAAAATATTTAAAACATAGTTCAATTTTATAAAGAATTATTGAAATAATAATCCATTTAGTAGTAATTTACATTTAGTTTTTCTTTTGCATCACATTTTTTTACTATCAAAGTGATAAAGATAGCTATTGCCTTTTCACATTCTAATTGGTCAGTTATATGTGAAAATTTATGGAACATGTACCGAAACAACTATTTGCATTTTTTAGTTTACACAGGGCTGACGATTCTAAGGTTTTTCCGTAATGATCAGTAATCTTATAATTTCTTCTTTTTTTCGTGTGTCAGACATAGTTTAATGCATTTTTTGTCAGTATACTTGGCTTAATAATTACGATTTTTGTCTGACTTGATTTACTTTCGATATTTAGTCATGTAATATTGAAATGCATTTCCCTCACTTCGTAGTTTACTTTTTTTGCTAGTTATCTGTAAAAATATTTTTTCCTTCTGATTTTCATTTCCTCTATAATAATTCTTATTCCTCTGTATTTGTTATTTTTCAAAAATTTTTAAACTAAATGGGACTTTTTGTTTATTTTGTGATCAATTTTGTAACCCGCAACTCTTAATTCTTATTAATAAAATAATAAGTCTTACTAAAAACTATGTAATAATTTTTAAAAGTACAACAAATTTTTCAGATTTAGATTTTGTTTAATTGTAAATATTTTTTTAGATTTCATTTCCATCGGATTTTAGCTTTTGCGTTGTTTATGTTAATGATATTTTTGTTAATTGTTTTCTCTACATTTTGTTAGAATAATTTAAAATTCTTAAATATATTTCATTCCATTTATACTTGAAATTTTTTAAATATTTTAAAAGTATATAACACAATTTCTCAATATCATTTGGGTTTTCAAAAGTTTTTTGTAAATTTTCAATAATCTTTTTCACTATCAGGCTATCCAATTCTGTTTCGAATAGCTATAATTCGAAAAATAATATTACATTGTTAAGTAAAAAAAAAAAAACATGTAACCTCTAATATACAATAAAAGTTTGGTTATAATTTTACAATTAACGATGTGTTTAGATTATACTTCTGTAAATAAGAAACTTATTTAAATAAGGCACCCTAGAAGTTATATATATATTTTACTTTGTGTATTACATTTTTCGTTTTATGTAAACAAAATTTTTACCTTAGAATAAACCAGAGAAATCAGATGACTTGTTAAAATTAAAAGTCATTTTGAAATGAAAATTCCTTCACTTGTTTTGATTTTTTCATCCGTTGTCTTTTATCATGAAAACTTAATTAGTATGATAAAATTTTACCTTTTTTTAAAACTTTGTATAATTCTATGTTGTATAATTGTATGTGAACTTTGTATAATTTTTACCTTGGAATAAACAAGGAAAATCAGAAGACTTGTGTCACAGTGATATGTGACGATTTTTCTAATTGTTTAATTTAATCCCTATTAGTTTAATGTTGGTTGTTTTCTTTCTCTAATTTAATCCTTATTTTACCCCATATTCTTTGAAGAGAAATGGAAATGTTTCTTTTGCTTTAGCAACACATTTTCTTGTGTCTTTCTCTTTTTCACCTTTTGCAATTCAAGGACGTCTGACCCCACTGTCCTTCTCAAGGATGACATTCTTTTCCCTCACATTCTAATTTACGTCACCATTTAACTTCTTTTTCCCATCACTTTCATGTAACCTTCAGTGTTGCACGTGGTGATTCTAGTTCCAGCCGGATTTTTCGAATTTCCTAAAAATTGGTGTGTTCACGCCTTCTTCCCTTTGGCACCATATTTGGTATGTTGTGGGAGTACTAATTTACACTGATTGGTATTAACGTAACCGTGTGGTAATTCTCCCATCCAATGACAGTCGTTCTCTCTCCTGCTTTACAACTCACACTTTCCCGTGCTTAGACGCGATTATTATCGTTTTTTTGGTTCTGCCAAGTACACTTCTCTTGTGGTGCTCCTTTGGCTTGGGTCTCGGCTGGTGAGCTGGCCTAGGTCAGCGAGCTTTGCCGGACCGCCCGTGATGCTAATATTCATTATTCCTTGGCTACTTTTTCTTTTGCGATGCCATGGGGGCCACCCATCCCATTCCAAAAACTGCTACGATTGTAAAATAATGAACAATTAAAGATGAATTTGTGAACGATGCTTCTTTACACTGTATTTTCTTTTGGTATCCATCACTTCAAAATGTCCGATGGTGGACCTGACTCCATGATGTAAATAATATGTGGTGAGTAACATTCTCTTGTCCCTTTTTCTGACCAGCGTTTATTTGCCCAAACGTAAAATTTCATAGATGTTATTCAGTCGTCCTTTAACTTTATCTTGACCACGAGCCCTTGCTGTTGGGTTAATTCCAGTGGCACTTTAGCAATGTTTCCCTCCACTATTTTCGATCACTTTTGGCCTTTCTTTCCATCAATTAATGATGATCCAAAATTATTATCAAAATTCATTATTTAATTAATCTCTTTTATTTTCTTTGATTGTTTTAAACTTTATCGACTGAATACCTCTATCAAGTTTCATAACCCATTTCTCTGTAATATATTTTAATCACAACATCCCCTTTTTCTCAATTAATTTATAATTAATTTAAAATTGGTACATATGAGATTTCCTTTCTTAAATAAAATTTAACTTTGGTACAACTTGTTAAAATTCAAAGTCATTTTCAAATAAGACTTAATTTTGAGTAATCAATCTCTTTTATGTCCTTCAATTGTTTTAATTTTTTATACCTTGCGCTTTATCATTAAAATTAAATTTATATGATAAAGTTAATTCTTTTTTTGTATTCTGCAAATTTATATTCATGATTAAATTCAAATCTATGTCAGAATCAAAATGTTAAACACAAATTATTCTTGATTCAACATGTTTTTGAAGAGCGAAAAACCATTTTACGTCATTATGATTAAAGTGTATCGATAAAATGTATTGCTCAGCAATAAGAAATTTAAAGGAGTAAAAATTACAAAATTCATTAATTGACTCGTGTAGTAAATGGTGAATGATGCACGTTAAATCTGTCGAGTCACAATGTCCTCCATGTTCCCATAACAAATCAATACTTCTGGGGCTACTGATCCAGGAGTTTCCTTGTTCTTCTGGATTAGTTAAAAATTACAAGGCTACGGAGGTGAACATTAGTAGTCGTAAATACAAAAGTTTGTTGGGCTGTTCAACGGCGGATATTAAAAAAAAATAAAAATTTATTACTAATTTATTAAAATTTTAATGCACTTTTTTTAAAAAATTTGATGGTGTGAATGTAATAGTTAAGTCATAATCGTTATAAACAATGGAAATAATTTATGAAACTATTACAAATATAAATGATTAAATGTTTCAGATTTAAAATAATAACCATTTTTAATTACAATATTAAAATAACACAAATAATTTTAAAATATTAAATCGGGCAAAGTTTATGACTTTGCATACCCCCAGAATGAAAAAAAATGTAGGCACGCCACTGCCCACCACTCAGATCATCATCCATATCGAAGTCTCTTTCTAACACCCGAGATGCTAAGGGATAGTTCTTATATTCATCACTCGACAATTGAAGTAAAACCCTGGTAGCTAGATAAGGTGCACGAACTGTACCGTAGGTAACTGCTTTGGGCTCATACGCTTTAACTGGATCATTCACTCTCTTCCTTCAAAGCATTCTTAAAAGTTTAGTTAGACTCGGATCAATTAAAATCATCCTATACATCTGCCTAATGACTGCTGCAAACGCATTAATATGTTTATGAAATAGTCATTATTTTAAATAAACTGTCCTGTATAACCCCATTGTTATACTGCAAGGAATTTAGAGAATCCTCCAAGGTTGTCTGTGAGAACGTATTAAACTCTACACGAAGCTTTGTAGTACTTTTACCAGTGCGATAAACTCCTAAATGTGGTATATAATATGTTCCTTCTTCTTCCTTACACTATGATATTTCTGTCATGTGGCCCACAATTTTGTATTCATGTAAAAATTCGCTGTATAGTCAGGGATGAGAGTAGTCAGAAAGTAAAAAATAGGAACTCCAAGAATGAATATATATATATATATATAAACGAATCACGACATAGGATTTTAAGCTCGCGTTAATATGAATCACTACATAGGGTTTTAAAAGGGAGTAAATACAAATTGTGATATTGGATTTTTAAATCTCGTAAATCAGAATACAATATACGATATTTAAATCGCCTGAATAAGGATCACAATGTTCAACTTTTAAAACAGGTAAATACGAAAATCGATGTTTGATAATAAAATCACGATTTTAAAAATGCATAAATACAAAATGTGATATTGGATTTTTAAATCTCGTAAATAAGAATCAGAATGTACGATATTTAAATAGCGTAAATAATAATCGCAATGTGCAACTTTTAAATCAGGTAAATACAAAAATCGATGATTGATATTAAAATCGCGTGATTAAGAATCGAGATATTTGCAGACCATGGACTTGGTATTGCTAAAAGGCTTGTTTGTACTGTTTCTGATTAGACATAATAACTAAAAATTTACAAGACTAATTGAATGAGCAAATAAATATTTTCACCACAAAATCCACCTCTTTTTTTTCCGTTTGCCTTAATGCCTGAAAACAGGAAGCAGCGGCGTCAGAATTACGAAAATACGAGCAATCCGTCAAATGGATAAAAATACGGAAAATATTTTTTTCTGTGCGTAAAATCAGAGAAAATAACTAAAAGAAGTAAAAATGCGGATGGGTTAGCAGCTAGGATGTAGTTTGAATTTTCTGTTTATCTTTGAAAATTGTAAATAAATATAATTATTTTATTTCAATGACTGAATTTTCAAAGGGGGAAAAAAAGCGGGATATTTTTTATAAAAAAACCCGAAACTTTTAGAGAATCGGAGTTTTTTATAAAAAGGCTGAAATTCGAGAGACAAAAGCAAAAATCCACTATAAAGCGGAAAAATCCGTGGATGAATCACATCCCTGTATTATTTAATACATTTATTTTAAGTTTTGTTTGCAAAAACCAGATTAATGATTTTTGCTTTGAATAGTTTTGTATAATGTGAGAAAAAAACTCAATTGGCTTCAATGATAAAAATTGTTTTCTTCAAGTGGGTTCAATCTGAAAAACCCCACAGGTCTTTCAGGGCTGAACCCATTTTGATGAATCTTGCTTAGAACCTTTTTCCACAAACCTTTTCAAATAATATTTAATAATAAACAATAATTATTTACCTTTTCAAATTTAAAACAGGATGGATCCTTTTTTTATCATGTAATAAGCATTATTAGAATGCAACAGTTAATTGTAATACAAACTTGATGATTTTTCACACATTTTAAATGTTATATTTAAACATTATATATATATATTTAAAAAAAAAAAAAAAAAAAAGAACAGGAGAACCAATAAAATTCGAAAACTAAAATATGAAAAAGTTACTCTGACCTTTTTTTCAAGATAGTTAATTAAATATACAGAAATAAAAGCTTGAAAATTATGAAATTTATAAACTTACACCAGTAGAAACTGAGTTGCACATAGAATCGTTCCGTGGACAACTTGAGTTTGATGGATTCGGATCCTATGAGGAGCATAAAAAGAAAAATAATGTTTAAGTTTTTAATAAATTGTTACTGATATTAATAACAATAAAGATTCATTACTTTTAAAGTAGATAAATAGAAATCTAAATGCATTATTTGAAAAAATATTACATAGCAGAACATTGTTAATTATTAAATAACTATAGTACCGCACAAAAAAAAAACTAACGTTTGATAACTTTTGATCTAATTATCAGATTTTTAGCGACTAAAACTTCCTTTTAATAGCTTACGGGCTTCACCTTAAGAATGTTAATTAATTTGTGCAAACAATAGCTTAATTAACAAAAACAGACACAATGTACTTTCTCTGAATAAATACAAATCTTGCTAATGTCAACTCAAAATAAAAGAAAGAAAATTTTTTGACCTTAAAAGTAATTCATGTCATGAGTTCAGAATTTTTTTTTCTTTATGAAAATCATACAATTCACAGACATTCTCTATTATCTATATTTGCATTTTCTAAGCATAAATATGTATACATAAATTAACTGATACACATATTCTCAAAATAATATATAACTAGTTACTTCAAAAAATAAAATAAAGCTAAGGTTATAAACTTATAATGAAAGAAAAATATATTACAAGATGAAATTCAAAAAGTAAAATGATTTATTACGTCAATTAGAGAGAAGGATTACAAAAAAAAATAATCAGAACAATCAAGGATCTAGACGGATAGTCATTTCTCATGAAACCATACTTCTTTACAGGCACCCCCATGAGGCAAACAAAAACTCTTCATATTAGATTGGAATATAAATTGGAATTCATACTCTGAGTACAAAAAGGCTTATCTTGTTTCATGTAATACCCCCCCTCCTCTCAACATATTCAATTAATACAACTCTATCATTTGACTGCTGTAATTGGAAAATTATCAACACTAGAACAAAGCATTGAAATACCTACTCTTGTAGATATAGAATTGTGAATGATCAGTTTCCTTACCTGTCAGAGGGGAAATAAATTTTCTGTTCATGTTAAAAGATATTTCACATTAAGCATGTTCACGTTAAAAGTACTTTAAGGCATTATATTTGCATACAATTTGACTGGAAATCAAAAATTAGTTCACGCTAAAAGACATTCCCGCTAAGCATATTCACCTTAACAATGTTTGACTGTATATATATTTTTCACCATATCGGGAATTCTGACTTTCAAAATAGGGGGTAGCTGTAATCAGGAAAATACGGTCCCCTAATTTTGGTCAGGAGAGCAATTGAAAATTTTTGACCCCTTAATGTTAACTTTTTGCATATTTCACTGCATCTTCAAAAATTACTCAGTGAATCAAAATATTTTTGTGCACAATTGCAAATTACATTTATCTGAAGATAATTCTATAAAAAAATATTTTTCAAAGTTATTTATTATTAATTTATTTAATAACAGTCAAAAAAATTTTGATTATTATGTAAACAAATTTTATCATTTTAAATTACAAAATCTGAATGAAATTGGAAGGATAGATTTGGAGTAATCTAATAATAAAATAGTTGTATTAAAATTTGATTTCTCGAGAACTATTCAACATATTTCATAAAAATTTGTCATTTAAAATTGTCTTGTTTAAATTGATTTAATTTTTTTAACCTTACAATTCAATTTTTTCTAACCATTACCAAATAACTTAATAAAAATAATAAATAACTTTTAAAAATTATTTTTTAGAAGGTGTATAAATGAATTTTATAAGGATATGCAAAATATGTTTCAATTGTCTTAACTTTTGGTGACATACTAAAATATACAAAAAATGAAATTCAAATTAAGGGGTCCAAACTTCTGATTACTCTCCTGCTTAAACTCTTGAGACCATATTTTCCAAATTGTAGATGCCCCTCTCAACATATTTTGAAAGTCAAAAATGCAAATCTGTCTAAAAAAAAAAATTTTAATTTGGAGAAAGTTTGTTTTGGTGTCTGATTTCTTAACTTAAAATATCATTTACACTAAATAATTTGCATATTTGAAATTTGTCTCTTGCATCATAAAGATCAGAGTCTTAATAATGCAATCATTAGATTATAAGTTATTCAGTGCACTCATTTTCCATTATTTCGCGCACTGAAATTTGTTTCTAAAATTTTTTACTTCAAAAAAATAAATACAAATTATAAACATTTTTTTGATAATTAATAAATTTCAGATTAACTTAACTTACAAGAATAACACAGTTCTTTAAAACTCGGAGATATTTTAGTAAAAAATTCCATGCAAAAAATTCCATAGTAATGGTAATTTGCATATGAATCTTACTAAAAGAGAGCAAAATTTAAATCTTGATATAATGACATAAAATATTCTTGATGATCAATATAATAAAATTTTTTTGGAATTAGGTTCATTTAATATATATATATATATATATATATATTAATTTTACTCTACATTAGTTAAACTAAGTAGTACAAGTTTTCCCTGTCTAGAGAATGCATAAAAGGCATTTGATGAAGTTTTGTGAACATATACAATTCAGAGTTGTGGAATATTGTATCAGGAATTAAATAAGATCTTATTTTAATGCTATCTTGTAGAGTGAGACATGCATGGAAGTAGTAGTAAACAAGCTGAAACTAAAGTTAGAACTAATGAAATATGTACATAGCACTGAACCATACAGCTAGATAAGAAAACTTTATACCAGCAATGCAGACATATTTATATGAACCAATTTTTCCAACATATTATTGCTGACTTAACAAAAAAAGTAAAAAAATATTTACTTCATGATAATCTGAATGAAGAAGATCAAAAGCAGCACTCAACATAATAACATAGGGATAATTATTACATAAGCCTAACAACCTAAAAACAGAGAAAAATTCAAAGTAACTAAATGAATGATCATCTGGATACAATAGATCATAAATATAAAATACAATCTTAAATAAACATTAATTATCTATGTATATACAAATATATATATACACGAGGCATGTTTTTTAAGTAAATACCATTTTGACATAATAAAAAAACAGATTTTTTTAGCAATTTCTCTTCATATGAAAGTGTGTTCTTTTATCTACTTTTCTACATAATTGCCATCAATACTGAGGCACTTATCATATAGTAATATTGTACATTGACCTTTTGCATACCATCGCTATAGAAGTCTGTAGCCTGATTTGTTAGCCACTGCAATATGGCCATTTTGACATCATTGTCGTTGTCATGGCGCTCACAGGCCAGATGTTTCTTCAAATGCAGAAACAAGTGGTAGTCACTGGGAGATAGATTGAGAGTGTATGGAGGCTGAGTTGTACCCAGCGAAATGATGCGATTGTTTCCCATTAGCAAGAAAAGAGCAGAGTAGTAGAAAACATAACTAAGATTGAAGACTAAGTTTAAAATATAAATCAAAATTTATTCACCTCAAAAACATTCAAACAATTAATTAAAACTTATTCATGATATACTATTAACTACATATTTGCCCTCTGGTGTCTAAGTAACGAACCTACCGAAAAGAGTATGACAAACATAAAAAGGGAAAAACAGAAAAGAAGATTGCTTAAGAAATACCTTCTTATTAACTGAATAGCGAATCAGCAATCTTCAATCACCAATCAGTGAAAAGTACTGTGTCAGGTTGCTTTATTTACTTGGGTGATTCGAAGACATGCCATCGCAATTTTGATCCTCTGCAAAGGGGATGGCTCCCCTGATTTTGTAGCCCGACGTCCTGCATGCGAAGTCTAGCACTTCGCGGTAAAACAGTTTTATGAGGACCGATACAGCACACCCTCAGTCAATACACAGGCTGATCAAAGTGGTTACTCACCCACTTACTGACTGCAGTCAGTGGTGCTTGACTTCAGTGTTCTACTGGTAACTGTGTCTTATGATCAGTCCACTGCAGGACTAATAGAGATGAAAAAATAAGCTTAAGAGTCTAAATTTGTCTTAAAGAAAAATTCTATTGCATAAGATATTATTCTTGCAATTCAAGGGCATGCACATTCTAGAAAATTTATTTAAAAGCATAGTTGGAAACTACTATAATAAGAGAGGAAAATCATTTGTATGTATTTAAAAAATGAATGAAGTAAGCTTTTGCGAACTTAAAAAGTTTCTTTTTTTCAAACAACACTTTTAATTACTCACATGCTTAATAACTTCTTAAACTTTTTCTCAGGTTTTACAAACTTGATTTACTACTAAATTTCACCATGCTGATATCTGTAATTTTTCATAACATTTAAGATGTTATATATTATATACATACTATTTATATAACAGATTTTTTTTAACTTACTTTTTTATTTTTAAAATTGCATTACAGTTTTTAATTATTAAACAATAAAATATAAGCATTTTTTGCTCAATAAAAATTTTTTGTATGAATAATATTTTTACTGTAACATAAACCAACACGAATAATAATATTAGGTTGTTTAATTTTTAATTTCATGGAATGAAGTTATTTTGCCTAGATGAAAAATTTTGTTATGGTATGAATGAAAAATTATTGCATCTCATATTGCGCTAATGAAAAATTATTTTTCATCTAGTCTATTTAAGGTGTGCTAGAGACATGCAAATAAAAATTTAAGAAAATTCTATTAAGTTAGTCTATTTAAGTAAATATCTTTGCACTTAGTGTTACAAAAACACAAATATAGTCCTTAACAAATTAATTTTCGCTTATATTTTTCGTATAATTTCGTTGAAATAAGAAATGTTTTGACCAATTCACACTAAAACTTCATCATCATTAACAAAATAAAGTGAAAAGTAGTTGTGAAATTTTTTTCTTCTAAGTCTTAAAAACACAGTTTTTTTTTTAACTTCCACCCCTTGTAACTAGCATTAATGTTGTTAAAATTTATAAAAATGAGAATTATAGCATGCACAGTAACTTTTATTCAAGGCATGAAGTTGTTATTCTCGAATAAAAATATCATCAATGTTTGAAACTATCAAATAAAGTAAATAGTAATAATTATTGTCAACATGCAAAGAATCCAATACTTTTTATTAACAACAGCACTATTATAAGATCAGTAATTGGTTTATTCAAACATTCATGATCTTTAATAAAAAATAAAAAAAATTCTTACTTTATTTAATCCTTAAATTTGTCATTTCGTATCCCTCGCATTTTATTATTCCGAAAAGGTCTATCTCCTGAGTGGTTGAATATAATATGCACAATCACTCAAAAAGAAAGGCCCATTCAGCAAGTGAGATATTTAATTTTAATTATCGCAATGATTATTTTCAAGAAAACAAAAATTACTGAATAGTATACTGTCAATTCAGAACAAATCTCGGAGATCCAAAAGATGCATTCTTTCATAAGATTTTATAAACACTTTAAAAGATACAGAAAAAAATATACGATATTCACACAAAATTATATTATGATTTCTCAATAATATGCACGTATTTATATTTTAAAACTGATAAAACAATACAGAACTCTACAAAAGCGAAATTGTCGTTCTCCGATTGTAAGCAGACGATAGAGGTTTAAAACTCGCCTGCCTGGTTTAAACCTACCTCAGACTAGGTTTAACCTAGCCAAGGCTGAACTAGATCCTTAGAACTGCGTTTTTCCTTAAACTTCGTTTCTGCAATGCAGCTTGGTTTAACTTCGCGGTTTAGAACAGGTTTAGTTTAAAGTTAAACTTCGTTCAGACAATTCAGCCAATAAGTTTAATGAATGTAGATTAAAATTCAAAAACAAAGCAAATATAAATATAAATATGACAAATCAAATTTAAAAAGTAGATTTAAATGTATGTATTTAAACTTACCAGAATCCAACAAGATTTCGCCAGCATTTTTCAGAGTTTGCTGAACTATATTGTTCTAAAAAGATAGAATATATTTAAAACAAGAAGAATATAATTTGCACAGTTTATATAATATTATCCTATTAATAAATGAAATTTTAAATATTTAAACAATAACAAAACATTTGTTAAAAGAAAATTGATTTTGGTCTTTATATTACAAGTTGTTACTTCTTGAAATAATATAGAAATATTGCTTATAAGGAAGAAATATTTGTACAGATTTTCCAAGTATTTCAACATCTAAAAAGACTAAGAAGTCAGATTTTAAATCATGAAAAAAATTATTCATTTAGCTGCAGACTTTTAATTTAATTTAGGCAAGGAGAATTATTTCTCTAACTGAGTTAAACCACTAATTACAATGCAAAAACACTAGCAAGAATTGTGTGGGTAGCCAAAAACTGGGGAAAATGGTCCCAATAGTTTATTATTTCATTTAATAGCAGTCGAAAAAAAATTTAATGGTAAGGTATAAAAATTTTTACATCATTATAAGGAATGTAATTTTAAAAGGAAAAATAAAAAAATTTGAACAAAATTTGTTGAATAGTTCCTGCGAAGTTCAATTTTAAATAAACAACTTTTTTTCAAATTAAATTTCTCAGGAACTATTTGACATATTTTGTTGAAATACTGCCTTTTCATAATACATACTTTAAAATGATGTAAAGATATTTCTCGCATGAAATACCTAATAATTAAAAAAATTTTTTTTGACTGTTTTTAAATAAAATAGAAAAATTCATTATTAAAAATTATTTTTGTATGGAATTATCATTGGATGAACAAAATTTATAATTAAACGCATAAAATTTTTTGATTAACTTAAAAAGTTTTTTAGATATGGTACAATACACAAAAAAATAAAATTAAAATTAAGAAGTCTTAACTTAAGACTACACTCCTGATCAAACTACTGGGACTATATTTTTCAGATTGCTGCTAACTCTATATTTTGAGGGTAAAGGATCACAATCAGTCAGGGAAAGAAAAAAAAAGGAATGCTTATTCAGAGAAAATGTGTTTTTGTGTCTGATTATATAACTTAAAATATTGTCTGCTCAAATTAACTAACATATTTGAAATCAGTCCTGTGAACCACTACGTTTAAGTCTTAATACGTAAAAATCTATGCTAGACACTGCATTAATCTGGTATAAATATAGTAAGATTATTTTGGTATAAATACAGTTAGATTATTTTGGTATATAAATATAGTTAAATCATTTTGGTATAAATATAGTAAGATTTATTTGGTATAAATATAGTAATTATATTGTTTTGGTAATACACATTAATAATTACATTAGTATGTTTTTTCCATGTGTTTTGTATTTTGCCAGACTACAAATTTAAAAGAACAAGGTTCAGGAAAGAACGGCAAGTCTAAAATCACAAGTTTGAAAAATCACTTGAAGATAGAGAAATACTAAATTGATTCAGGAGGAGAAGTTTAAGTTTTTAAGCTCTGAAAAAAGGGTGTTTTCTCTTATTTTTCTGAACTTTTTATTTCTATATTTTTATGTTTATTTCGAACATTTAAAAATAATTTAAAGATAAATTTACATATTAATTGTACTTGTCATATTTTCTTTCATTCTCATTTTGCAAGTGTTTTTGATTTGATATTAAATATATGCTTGTATATATAAGACAGATCCAGATTATATATGTATATATCAATGGAATGTGAGTTGACACCAAATTTGCAAGGCTATCAATAGTTCGCTTTCCCTATCCATTGCTTACCGGCTAAGAAATATTTTCAGGAAGAGCGTAAGAGTGCATGCAGAAGCAAGCTGCTGAAACTCATACACACACCTAGAAAATTCATACAGGGCAAGGCGTCAAAGAAGCCAGTACACCGATGTAAGAATAATTATAGACTTCAAATACTTAAAGGAAGGATGAACTATATTTCTGAAAATAGTATACATACATTACACTTAGTTTACAGTGCATAAATGCACATTTTTTTCAAATCTCAAACTTTTCTTAGAACCTTAAGAGCTGAACAATTCCCTTCAACACCACAGGTATTCATGCCATAAGTCACAATTGATTCTTAGAAAATAGATTCCAATACTTAAGAAGTAGCTTGTTCTAATACTACTGGAATACTCTTTCATTCAGAACTTTTTAAAAGAAATCATTAAGTGTTCAAAAAAAGAATTCCTCTCCCTTTAAAGAAATGGTAATCCTTAAAGGTGTTTGGGAAAAGAAGTTAGATGTTACAGAATATATAATACATTAAATTTATAAGCTTAACAAAAATAAGAGTTTCAAAATCTTTGAAAAAAAGTTTCTAGGAAAATTTGTATAATATTTCAGAAAAAAGTAAACATTTTAAACACCTTTAAATAAGAAATACTTCAACTTTATCCCAAAAAGCGACGAAAAAAAACAAGTCAAAGGACTCAATTTAAATGTAACCAAATACAAGTTAAAGTATGCACTTTTTACTTCGTTACGAAAATAAAAGCATTGCCATGCATGCACAAGTGGAGATTAGTTTCATCAAACAGTCCTCCGCAAAGGCTTGTTTGTCCCAATGTTTGAATATATTACTTTGTCTTCATGGTTAGGTTTAAAATTACAAGACTATGGAGGTGATTATAAATAGTCATAAACTCAGAATTGAGCCAGATATTCAATGCCAGTTTTAAGATAAAATTAATTTTTCTCATTCATTCTTATTTTAAGGGCTCACTTTGTTTTATTTAATTCACTTTGGAAACTCTTAATAATCATAGATCCAGGGGGGGGATTTCTAAATCGTGATCTATGGCAGAATAATCGCCAAGTCTTGACAATTTCCGGGCAGTGGCCTTCAAAAAACTAAAAATAAACATTACAGAAAGGGACCAACTCGAAAGTTATAACTCGTAGCCACTTCCACGGAAAAACTTCTATAGTTTGTCTAAGCTAAGAACTCTTCCCGTCACAAAGTCAAAGGCCATCTGGTCCTATGGAAACAAGAATGGAACATTTTAGGGAGGGTAGCTTGCTTCACTCTAGGACTAACAAAATAGACTGAAGAAAGATATTCCCTTTCTCTCGCCGACCGGAGCCGAAATCACTAAAAACAGTGACCCCGCACCCCTACTTGCATGCTGATGGCCATTCGTATGCTGACTGGGTTCTCTTTACTTTTTCTCCTGTGACTGAAAGTGACTCCCCCTCCGCAGTAACGTTTGCTGCATTTTTACCCCTTTTCCCAGTATTTCTTCCTTCCCTAACACCAATAAAAAGGTTCCAGGAAATGCCTTTTCTACTAGCCAGCTGCATAGGAAAGAAGGGGAGAGGGGACTCAGTTGTGCTCTTTTGAAAACAAATCTCCCTCCTTTCCTGCATTCCAGAGGAGGAGCATCACTAAGGGTCACTCCACAGTCTTGGTAGCTCTTCCTTTCCCCTTTCTGTTGATTTATGGGTTCAATGCATAAATCACTAGAAGCTAGAAAAGGAAAAAACGTGTCAAAAGACTTCTTTTTTTTTCTTCTTAGAGAGGGGAAGATGAACAGGAGTTTGTTTATTTTGATTGTTAAAAAGTGTTCCAGAAATCCACCCTTCCGGAAAAGGGACGTTCGGATATGGGACGTTACACTACATAATTAAAAGTTACACTATAGAATTAAAATCAGTAAAAAATAAAATACACAAACAAATGCACCATATAATTTGTTAAACTTAATTTACTGTATGAGCCTTTTATGCATACTTCATGTAATTTATTTTGTTTTATCAAAATAATATGGGATTTTTAAAGTAATTATTTTGTGCTAATTAACATTTTCATAATTTGATATTTTCAACAAATATTTTTTTCTGAGTCAAAAGTATTAATTTTTAAAATTTTAATACTGAAGTTATAAATACAGCTGATAGAGGAAGAAAATAAGAGTTCTTTGTGTTGTCTTTTTTATTTCTTTGTGTACATTTATATGAAATTTTTATCCTTACCAAAATGGACCATGCGATCCAAGAAAACCAAAATATCTCATCTTGTCTGTTTCTTGGCTTGTAAATAATAAAGTAAATATATTTAATAAAATGTGCATAAAAATTATTCCCACCACAATTATTATAATTTATCATTTCTTCAAAATATGAATACTAGTTCAGTCAATCAACTGAATAATTTTATTTTCCCTTTTAAACACAACAATTTCAATTTTTAAAACCATATAAGTTGAACTGGAACAAGATGAGAAAATAGCTTAACTTAAAAACTGCTCTAATAGTCTTAAATTTTTCACCTTTTTTTTCGCAATTTAGAGTTTTATAAATATATTTATTTTAATCATGATTATCTCTACTGTAATTAATGTTTAAGATAGTTTTTCTAGTATTATTTTTAATGTCTCTTTCATCTCAGAAATCCAGATCAATTAAAATTCACAGTAAAAAAATTGTTTTTTGTTTAGTAAAACGTTTAATGGCCTTTTTTTTTTATATTTCTTTAAAAATTCGACTACCATTTAAAATGTTAAAATCTGTTCCAAAAAATTGATCTCATTTGTGATTGTTTTTTTCACTTAGGATTACATGACATAATATTATGCATTTATAAATATCATGTCATTCTCATCATAAATTTTAACAGACAAAAAGTTCTTTTCAAAATAAAACTATATTTTAATTTCTAGAATTCTTGTCACAAATGAAGTAAAAAAAAAAAGGATCACAAATTAACACTTTAGGAGAGAAAAAGAAAATCAAAACATGACCAATCTTAAATTAAGAAGGCGAGATAAGAAAAGTATGTATAGTAGATGAAAAAACACACAGGAATTGAAAGACACTTATCTGAGACACTTCAAACTAAATTCGGCAATCAAACTAGTTTTAATTCTGTTCATCCGAATATTGATTTTTCCGATTTTCTTCTAGTTTTTCCTGCTCATAAATGGTAGTTTGCGATTCCTAATTTGTACATTCAAACTAGTCATACAAACTAGTCAACAATAGCAATCAAACTAGTTTTAATTCTGTTCATCCGAATATTGATTTTTCCGATTTTCTTCTAGTTTTTCCTGCTCATAAATGGTAGTTTGCGATTCCTAATTTGTATATTTTTTTACACTCAATTCTTAAAGATGATTCTAAACAGGGGTCTGTTCAGAAGAAATTTGGGTTCGTTAACGGACCCTTCACAAATTATCGTTTCATAAAAATGGAAGCTTCACAAAATAATTTATCTTTTAATCGAACCCTTCATAAATTTGTTTATCTTCATTATTGTTTTGTTAATAGAATAAACCCTTCCCGGGGGGGGGGGGAGAGAAGAAAGATGGTTCGAGACAAACTAAGTATCCCTAAGTTTAAATTCCTAATGTTGTATTCTAAGAAAATATTTCTACTTTTACAAACATCGTGTGCACATTCTCATTAATATTGAATCATATTTTTTTTTGTGAATAAATAATAGATCAATTTATATTCATTCATAGAATTAATTAATAGAATATTATGTAAATAAAAATTTATTTCTGGCAATTTTTTAAATAAAATATTATAAATTTAAGAATTGTTTAAGTTTACTTAATGCGTAACACATTAAAAGTGATACATTACTAAGCTGTGTTATTTAAAATATGTCAATTGCAATTATTAAAAATATGAGTGATTTTGTTTAAATTATTCATCCGAAATGAATATTCTGCGGTGAGCAGTATAGGCTAAAAACCAAATATTTGTATGTTGCATCTCTAATTTAGTAGCAGCAATTGTTGAGCAGAATCTTGTATCTATTTACAATTTAAAAACTTCTTGAAAAGGTTTTTAGCAGTAACAGAACCCTATTTGTACTAATTCACAAAAGCAGGACCCTGGTTGAAAGAATATGACTTAACACTTATTTTATATTCACAAATTATGAATAGTTTTTTTCTTCACAATTTTACTAAAACAGGACCTTTTACAAAATGTCTGGACAGATCCCTGCTAAAATTATATATGAGGATGAATATAATAATATCCCCCCCCCCCAATAAATTTAATATGACGACGCCAATGCCTGATATTATGTTTTTAATCGCAAACTAGCGATGTTCTTGAAGACTTTATGATAAAAAAAAATTCACAAAATTCTGTTTTCAATTTAATCTGCACCTATATGAATTACAACATTACGGTTTCTTTTCAAACCATATCAATTTTTAAATATATTTTTAGCTAATAATTGTAGAAAACTTAACTACAAAACTTACTCTCAGCAACATCAACATTTTCATCTTCATTTACTTCATTAATATCCGTCATCACAATATTAAATATTTTCTATGAAAATTTCTAAAGCAAGAGGTGTGTGAATTGATAATGATCGCTCATGTCACCACCTGTAAACACCTCACGTAGAAGGTGTAAACGCGCTATTTTGTCACCGAAGCAGGGAGATAATGGCGATAACTTGGCCAAGGGCGATAATAAGCCAAATACGGTTCAAGGCGGGTTGCCACCCCTTGAAAGCAAAAGTACTTTGCTCAAAGTAAGCGCGCGCATTCAAATTTCATCATAAAAGTAAATAATACAAAAATGGGAACCGCGAAATTTTAGGGAAAAGGGAAAATGCGAAAGGGGAAAAAAGTCACTCACTTGTTGAGAGTATGATATGTCTAATGAATAATCTCGGCCTCTGTGTTTCCAACCCTGCTATTCCATTAACGAAAAGAGGGAAATTAATTTCTACTTTGAATACTTAGGGTGATCACCGAAGTCAAGCATCGCTGGCTACGGTCAGTGTGCGGGTGGGTGACCACTTGGATCAGTCTGCGTAGGGACCGAGGGTGTGCGGTATTGGTCCTCGTTAAACTGTGCTACCGTAAAGTGCTCGACTTCGTGCGCAGGTCGTCGGGCTACCGAAGCGGGGGTGCCATCCCCTCCGCAGAGGATCAAAATTGTGATGGCATGTCTTCGGATCATCCTCCGGGATGTTTCCCAGACCGTCGCCAATAGCCCATTGTGCAGCTCTAGTGCGACGTAAATTAACAACAACAACAATACTTAGGGTCAATTCCAAAGATGCGTTACATAGAATTTTTCCAGTTTCGTGGGATAAGGAAGCTCGATCCTAACTTCACTTTAACGGTTACAATCAAGTTAATCACAATGCGAGCAGGAACCTGATTGGCAAGTCTTTTGTCGATAAATATTTTTGACCAATCAAGATCACATTCGCATAAAGCGAAATATTTGAATATTGTGCTAGCGGTCTCTAAGGAACCATTTCCATTACATTCTGTACAATACTTGTGCTAGTAGTCCCGCAGTGGACAGATCGTAAAGACACAGTTCCCAGTAGAACACCGAAATCAAGCATCACTGGCTGCGGTCATTAAACTGGTGGGTGACCACTTTGATCAGGCAGAGTAGGAACCCAGGACGAGCGGTATTGGTCCTCGCTAAACTGTTCTACTGTAAAGTGCTCGACTTCGCGAGCTGATCGTAGGGCTACCAAAGCAGGAGAGCCATCCCTTCTGCAGAGGATCAAAATTTCGATGGCATGTCTTCGGATCATCCTCTGGAATGTTTCCCAGACAGCCGCAATGGCCCATTGTGCAGCTCTAGTGAGACGTAAATTAAGTACCTATGTGCTAGTAGCTTCCCATATTTCTTTTCTTATTTAGTTTTTCATGCGGATTCCACACTTTGAATGCAAAGGGCATACAGGAGTCGAATTATCTTTTGTTGGTATTAGCATGTGTATTTTTCCTTCTGTATGTCTTTTCTATCTCCAATAAATGATCTACCTTAGTGGCTATTATAATTTTATTGGAAATTTAAAAAATTAACGTCCTTATTCGCATATGAGTTATCTATCGTTCTTTCTCTTTGAAATATATCTTAAATGAAATTAAAATGACAAATACACATTTTTAAATCACAAAGTATGCAAAAATTAGAATATCAGAACCAGTTTGATTGCTTTTGAAGTACTAAAGGAGTTTCTATTAATCACCTTATACCATTTCTGGTTTAATTATTCAAATTAATTGGGTTTTCATGCTGTAAATCCTTCCCTACCCAATTAACAGCAAAAATTCGTTATTGGATTTTTATTTCCTCTATCTACTATTAATAATAATAACCATTGATGTCGCAGTTTTATTTATTCGAAAAATACTTAACAAATGAAAAATATATATAGACGATTTAAGGAAAAAATGTAGCAAAGATTTCTGAAAAGCATTGATTTCTATAAATTTTATACGTTGAAACTTTTCATCGGGATAACCTTTACATTAAATACAGAGAAATAAACTATTTATTAAATTTATTAGTCAATGCCACTGAAATCCAATTTTATTTTCTTGCAGCATACAAGCACAAGTTCTTAGTTTTAAAACTTTTATTGGCAAGAGAATTATGGATTACAAATTATTCGAAGTGGGAAAGAACAATATATTAAATTGAAAAAAAAAATTTTTAATAAATTTAAGCATATCAGTTTAAGCAAATAATTTTAATGGAATGCACTGCAACTATCAATGAACAAACTTATAAGGTCTCAGCCATACACTATTTTGACTATTTCCAGTACCAAAAAAAAAAAAGAGAGAGGGAGGGAGAGAGAGAATAAGAACAAAAAGTTGCATATAATGCGTTATGCAGTATAAGCATTGAAATTGTACAATAAAAAACAATTATAAGTTTACATTTAAAGAAAGAATCTTGAACTGTTTAATAATAAAAATATAATTTTAATTTGCAAAGAATAGATAATAGCAAATTTTCTCAGATTAAATGTTTAGAACTATGAATGTTTAAAATGTTTTAAACATTCATAAATTAAAAATGTTTTGTGTAACAATTTTGCATAGGCCACAGTAAAATGTTACTAACCCAATAAAAGATACCGTACAAATTTTTTTTTTTTTTTAAATTGCCCCCAAAAATTTTTAGAGCAAAAATAACTAATAAATAATTAAGATTATTAAAGTCCTGATAAGATTAAGATTAATTAAGATAATTAAGTAAATTAAGATAAAAAGTTATACATGAGTATGAAAGTCCCCTAAGGCAGTGTTTCCCAAACTTATGACTTTTGTGTACCCTTTCTACATTTTTCATAACGCTGTGTACCACTAAAAAAAAATGAATGTATTTTTTTAAAAATATGTTTTTTTCTTCTTTTTTGGTACAAAGTTTCGTAGATACCAACCGGCGATCCATATTCTATGTTAGGAATAAAAATTATATTTTCTAAAAATAATCAAAATATGTAGAATTTATTACAAACCTTTACTATAAAAAAATTGCACAAAAGTTAAAAATCACAACTGGCTGTTGACACCACTATTTATTAACTGTCAACTCAGCAAAAAATAGCCTATAGAAAAATACGTAATCGTAAATTTTCATACCTAGTTTTGTTTTTAAATAAAAGTTTTCGAAATTTTCGTTTGTTGCAAGATATTTCGCATAAGAACGAGTTCCCCCGCTAAACTGTTCCCGTACCCCTGGGGGCACGCGTACCACACTTTGGGAAACACTGCCCTAAGGTCAAAACATTTTTTTCTGAACACTTTCACTACTGCTCTTTCTCCTTTTTTTCCTATATGGCTTTCAGATAATGAAAACTTGTGATTATTTCAGACTGTGATACAATACAAGTTATTTTAAATGCAGAAGAGGAGACAACGAATAAATTCTGTCAACCTATAAAAGATAAAAATACATTATTTGAAATAAAAAAACACATTTATAAAAGGTTTTTAATAAATTTTTCTTTAATAATTTAATTTTTTTATGCTGTCACATTACATTATTATCATTCGACTTTTCATTGTGACTTCTACGGAATTAGTGGTTAGCATTTGCTACGCTATCAATTTCTTTAAAAAATAGCCATTAATTTTTTTCGAATACAATTTCGACTACTCCCCCTTAAAATTTACACGAAATACTAACACGATTTCAAACATAAAAAAATCTTAATTTTTTAACATATTTTAGTAAAATTAATTGTTTAAAAGTAATAGTAGTGTTTCAAAATGGTCTACACCACGTAAAATCAAAATGTCTTTATTGAATATTCATTTCGAAAAAATAATAAACAAATTTAAGTTGCTCAATAATAATTGCCTATTAATGAGCACTTGAATTGTGCAGACTGTTACTTCCAATTTGTATATTTTTGAGGAGAATGAAGTTTTCGATCAAGTAATACAATTAGTATCAACTTTTCATTAATATTAAAACAATATTTATAAAAAGCATAGATTAAAAGTTTCAATTTACTTTGATAAAACTTGAATTTGAATAGCCCAATGAGATATAAGCTATATACATGGTATTTCGTGAGGATTGCTCTTAATGTGTCCCACCTAATTAAGGCGGGTTGACACGATCAAAGTACTTTGATCAAAGTAAGCGCGCGTTCACCAGTAGGGAAATATTTTTAGGGAAATGAGACGATTTAGAAGAAGTTGTTTTTGTTTACAGATTTGTTATTTTGAAGCTTATTTTCAAAAAATCTGGATGTATTAATAGGATTTGACAACTACTCAATATTATCGGGTAAGTGAAAATTTCTTCGTTTATAATCAATTATATGTGCTTTTAAAATGAATATTACATTTATTATTCTAAATAATACTAATTATATCACATACTAATATACTTTATACTAATGTATATACGATATCTTTGTGTAATTAATAGATTATTAGAAGTATTTCTGAACTGAATAATCTGAAATAAACAAAAAATATTTATTCCATGTCTAATAGTTCATTTATTTCCGATCTTTTTCTGTATTAATCATTTTTATTAAAGTTGATAAAATATTTAGTCGAACTGTTTTTCAGCTCTATTATTTTTTAGTATAATTTATTGCTTAACTTTTATTACTGCGTAGACTTTTAGATACTAATGCAGATTATTTTCTGTCAAAATTTTATATAATTAATTGTTTTTGGTTACTTTCCGTCTGTATTTACGTAAAGAAAAATGGCTAATAGCGAAAATTTAGTGTCATGATAAGTGTGGAATTTTAAAAACATGGAACTTCATTAGTTTTTAATTCTATATTAAAATTCAGTCATTGTAAATTTTTATGCATTTCTAGCTTAATATAAAGATCCTTATCTTTTTACATTGATTTGATCTTTATGCAAATTTGCTTGAGAGTTTTAAAGTGTCTGTTTGTTTGACAGATGTCTCATGTTTTATTTGACCACATGCACTCTAGCTTACTAGACACTAAAATTGTTTCATACAAAGAATATCTTATTTCCATGTATAATAATTTAAAATTATTTTCATGAGTATTTTGATGAACTATAGAAAATTTTGTTGTTGAATAAAAAATGTTTAATTTTTCTCTTGTTAACTCCATTTTGAACTGTTCGTGATGCTTTATACTATGTTACAGTTATAAAATTGAATTCCTATGGACTTGCTTTT